CGTCATAACCCGTTTACACAACCAATCGGAGTGGGCACTCTATCATGATCAGAATTTTGTAACATAAAATGCAAAACAAGTTCAAGTCTACAATTAAAAGAACCTTTTACCGAAGGAAGCACAAATTCAGAAGTTTGGAATATACAACGAACCTCTTTGGTTCCAGCCACAAAACATACACATTTGCAGGTTGGTCCAAAAGCGACTGTGATTAGAAGATAACTTTGTTACTTTAGAGTAATAATGTCTAACAATTTTTCGCTATGTATATTGGCATTTTATATTTAAAGGACGTTGTATCCCGGCTAAGGTCAGTATGTATCGAAACAAACTATAAGCCCTTGGCTATGAAGCCGTCGTCCCTCCGGCAAATGGGACGTATAAATTGCTATGAACGAAATTATAACGGTCATCAAGAGTGACCATCGAAGCGATGTTCTGCGCGTCAAAAGAAGTGCATGGTCGAGTTTATGATGCGCGGGAGAGGCGCGGCGAAAGAACGCCTGTGGGCAAACTTAACAAAAGGTCCTTCCGGTATACCAGGATCTGGTGTACCCTCTGATTGGTCAATTTTGACAGGTATTGTCAACACTCGTGCGCTAATGACACAGATGAGAAATGCGATATGGGGTGGTAAGTGTAAAATGGGGTTGAATGGCCAGCACGACTTCTGCCGATCTCCTGAGAAGGTGTTAGCACGCTTCGCGGAACGAGTATCTCCAGTCGGCGATCTAGCGTTCGTTTGTAGTTTTGGCGTTATAAGCAATTTTCTTTCTACAATCCCGGAGAATTATCTCTCAACACATCAGCTGAAAACTGAAAACCACAAGCCGGCGGTCATGTTACTGGTCCTTGTGGGCGGCCTGTAAGTGGGTGGAAGGACCTATTGTTAAGTTTGCCCAAAGGCGTTCTTTCGCCCCAACTAACTGAACGCCTGGAAGAGGCTAGTTAACGTACCGTATGACAAACGGTCTTACATTTGCATAATTATAATGGCCTTGCGTACATTTGCTAGGCAAGGTTGATCGGTATGGTACCCAAAGAGCAATGTTTCCCCCAGTTAGATTTTGAAAAAGAAGTTCAGAGGGCGAAATTGTTCAAAGAAGACTTGGAAAAAGGTGGTTGGAATCCAAGGTTTAAAGTCCCAGGACGTTTCGATTCTTGGAGTAAAACTTTCCCAGAAGAAGAGGTTGCTGTTAAAGTGCTCTTCCTGTTTCAAGATATGCCAATGCCAGCGGAGAAGTTCGCCAAAATGATGCATCCCTCGAATATGGAGATACGCACAAGGTGGGACGATGCTTTCCAAGGCATTGAAATCTTGGAGACTGGTCCTGATGGCTCTCTTATAGTATCCACACGAATTGCATTATCTTGCCCGCTAACCGACCGTGAAATGGTTTTGTTCGCATCAACAACCAGAGAGATCGATTGGTACGGAAAGAAGTCGTTCGCCATGTTTGTGAAAAACGCCAGTCACCCTTCCAAGCCGGTCGGCGGGCATGGTCTTGTAAGAGCGACGAATGGCGGAAATTTCTACATCGTGTCTCCTGACGAAAAGGAACCAGAAACCAAGTGCCAAGTCTTCGGATTAACGAATAATAATTACAACGGGTGGCTGCCTAATGCACGTATGGAGTGGCTGGTCGGCAGGAACGCTCCTAAGGTTTTTCACAAGCTACAAAATAACGCCATTGAGGGTTACATCAAGTACTTTAAGAATAAGGAGGTTAATTCAGCAGATCACAATCAGTCAGTATAGACTGAACTTGAAACTTAAACCTTCCAATAATTGCAAATTGTGCTTAGGATAAACTTCTATTTTCGCAAGGCACAATACTAACTAATTGTCTCTAAATGCTCCGAAAGGTTTTCTTTCCACTGGAGCATAAAAACAGCAAAGGGAATGTGTAACTCTTTCGCGTTTCAAGTTTTTAAAATAATTTGTTTTAGAAAATTCAGATAAAGTAGAAGNCATTGAAATCTTGGAGACTGGTCCTGATGGCTCTCTTATAGTATCCACACGAATTGCATTATCTTGCCCGCTAACCGACCGTGAAATGGATTTGTTCGCATCAACAACCAGAGAGATCGATTGGTACGGAAAGAAATCGTTTGCCATGTTTGTGAAAAACGTCAGTCACCCTTCCAAGCCGGTCGGCGGGCATGGTCTTGTGAGAGCGACGAATGGCGGAAATTTCTACATCGTGTCTCCTGACGAAAAGGAACCAGAAAGCAAGTGCCAGGTTTTCGGATTAACGAATAACAATTACAACGGGTGGCTGCCTAATGCACTTAGGGGGTGGTTGGTCGGCAGGAACGCTCTTAAGGTTTTTCACAACCTACAAAATAACGCCATTGTGGGTTACATCAAGTACTTCAAGAATAAGGAGGTTAATTCAGCAGATCACAACCGGTCAGTATAGACTGAACTTGAAACTTAAACCTTCCAATAA